TGGTCCTGCAGACAGGAAATCTTTTCACCCTGGTCAAAAGCTGAGAACTAATTTGCTGGGGGGAGGGAGAGATTTGCTAGCTAAACTCAAACCTGGTGGCCATGTCAGCGGGTTAAACTCTTCCCTGCTGGGCACACTTAGAATTATTGACGGACACCAAGTCTCCAAACCCCAGAGCTGGGGCAGCACCGTGTCCTACAAGTTAGAAGCCAGTTTGCTTTCTGGGCTGAAAGGGATGGATTTGCAAGGGTGCCCAGACTTGCCTGGTAAGACCTGGGATTTCGCCTGCCTACCTATAGTAGCCTAGGTGTGAGGGCAGGTCTTCAGTTTATGCTGGCTGGTTCAGCCCAGGACAGCTAGGTTGCTCCTAACTTGCATATCACAAGCGGGGAAGCTGGCATCAATTCAGGTTGGTGGTCGCTTCCCCTGCTACTAGGTCAGGCTGCTGTAGGGGTCTCTCTTTCTCTCTCTCTCCTTAAAAATCAAGTTGCAGCCACTTGGCCTGAATCTAACGCTGCTGTCCATCCTCCCCATTCTTTGCCATAAGCAAGGGTGCATTGGGTTCACAGAACATCTGGAACTTCAGATGTTGCACCTGCTAACGGCTATTTGGTTTCATTCTTACCCCACTTCACTTTGATGTCATCCGAACAGGCTGGCACTTGATTTTTTTTTAAGTGAAGGTTATTGGGGGGTTTTCAAAGTCAATCTGCACTGAGGAAGCAGGCGCCCATCTGAATGCCAGCTATGCCTCCGATTTCATTCAAGGCTCTGCAGAGATCCAGAAGAGGCCCCAGGAACTCTGGGTCCCCAAGGGTTAGCAGCCGGCCCCTCTGGAGCTTCCCAAGGGCGCAGCAGTCTCAGATGCAGTCTGGAGCTGGAAGCATTTCTCCCTACTTTCCCCGTTGGTGTTTACTGGCAATAGTCTGGAATGCGACTCGGTGTCTACCGTGAGAGCGAACCACCCTCCCCCTACCTGAGGAAGCTAATATTTCACCCAGGAATTCACCTGAAGAACCAGGAATCTGAAATATTCCTGGGGGGAGAACCAGTAGAATTATGTAAGGGGAGGAGCAGAGATGCTGATCAGCAAATTAAAACAAAACCCAACCCCAAAGGGCAGTTATCCACGCCCCGCTGCCTTGAGAAGGGGAAAATCTGATGCCAATGTTACTATCATGGAAACACCCTACAATCATAACAACGCGTGGAGGCATCTCCTTTACCAAACACTACACAGACACA